CCGATAAGACAGGCTTTGGGTGCAGCTACGAGACGCCCACTTGAGGCCAGAATCAACAGTGACCAAGTGCTGTGTGCCCCAGAGCGCCGCCGACTCGGTCAAAAGCTAAACTGCTTAACACTGGGCGTGCGCTCAAATATTTGCTGAATATATGTCTACAACCTGTCTTGAGTAAACCGCATCCTAACTCAGAAAATAATCGAGCTCTGTGTGAGCTAAATCAGAATGCTATTTCGCAAATACAAAATCTATCTTGCTTGTGCGTCTATGGGAATAAAAACAGTTTAAAAAGAAAGCCTCGTGGTTTTTTTCCCTTCTTCTCAACAACGTTCCTCAGACTTGTAATTTGGATTCAAGCATGGGTGTTAAGCAGCAGCAGAACAGAATGAAAGACTTTTCAGTTTTTCAACGTTATTTGGAGGTGAATAGGCTCCGGCCCTACTTTTTCGCCTACGGGTTCAAACGTGGGGACTAGTCTGGCTGCTCCCCTCAACTGTGCGGAGGGCAGGCGAATAGCTCTCCCACCTCCTTTTTGCCCACCCCTCAATCTTGAGGAGAAAAGAGGGTGGGTGGTGGGTCACAGCATTTCATGAAACCCTGGGTTGCGCGCACACAGAGCCATTATTCTCAGCTGCTCCCTACGTTTGCAAACCGAGCACCGCGGCACCCGGGCACCCAGGCCCGGCAGAGGCGGCGCCGCGCGCACGCGCACACCGCAGCCCCGCGCCCGCTCAACATTCCATTCCACGTGTTGCTTGTTGTAGGCGCCACAGGTTCCCCACCTGCGCCCAAGCGGCTGGGCCTCCGCCGGCCGGCGTGGGAGGACCACGGGGTTGGCGGTCCCAGGACCCGCCGAGCTGTTCACGAGGCGTTTACGTTCACCCCCAACGCTAACTCCGCCTATTTAATCCCGGCGGCTCTCCCTCGCCCAGTCCTCCTCCCGGCTCCCGCCCGCCCCTTTCACCCTGGTGGTAGGAAACACTCCGGAATCTAACTCGACGTGTCCGGAAAGCTCTGGCCAGTTTCCCTTTCGTTCTGCGGCCGCTGCCGCCAGCCGCGCGGCTCCCTTCTACCCACGGGCGCAGTCGCCGGGGGGTGAGGCGCCCGGAGGCTGCGGGCTGAGCGGAGGGGCGCCCCGGGCACCATGCTGGACCCGTCTTCCAGCGAGGAGGAGTCGGACGAGGGACTGGAAGAGGAGAGCCGCGATGTACTGGTGGCGGCCGGCGGCTCGCAGCGGGCACCCCTGGCCCCAGCTCGGGAAGGGCGGCGGGACGCCCCGGGGCGCGCGGGAGGCGGCGGCGCGGTCAGACCCGTGAGCCCGAGTCCCTCCGTGCTCAGCGAGGGGCGAGACGAGCCCGAACGCCAGCTGGACGAGGAGCAGGAGCGGAGGATCCGCCTGCAGCTCTATGTCTTCGTGGTGAGGTGTATCGCGTACCCCTTCAACGCCAAGCAGCCCACCGACATGGCCCGGAGGCAGCAGAAGGTGAGTTGCGTGCAGGACGGGGCGCCTGCTACCTCCACTTCTTCCTCCCCGGGTTTTCTCAGGGATTGCTCTGGGACGCCTGCCTGCTGTCCTTCTCAAAGCAGGCCACTATTTTTGTTAGTCTTTTAGGTAAAGGGAATCTTTGGGGTGAAGTGGGTGCTTTACCCCTTGGAATCAGGTTGCAGCGGACGCGTCTCTCCAACGCAGGCTGAAGCTGTCAGCTTGGCGTCCGGGAGACAGAGACCCGCCGACTGCACCGGCCGTGCGGTGGTAGCGCCCAGCGGGGTTAGTTTCTGGCCAGGTTAGACTACGGCTCTTATCAACTTTAATGTCTAACAGCGGTTGTGCGTTGCTGTCCACCTAGCCCCGTTCGACCAGGGCTTTGTCGTGAACCTGAATGTGTGGCTGGGTGAAACGGGGGGAATCTGAATACATTGTTAGCCGGAGAGAAATCTTCGCTACGATGAAGGGGTAGAAATAATTCCGTGATGCCCAAAAGTTCAACAAGTTCCCTGTACTGATGTATAGTTAAGGCATCAAACCCAAACGCTAGAGAAGGGATGCAGCTCTGCAGGGTGGCTGTGGGTTACTAGAAAGACCTAATGCACTACTGATGAAAAATGACTTGTGCACAACCACTTCATAACGAATGCTTTTTTTTTTCTCTCACCAAAGAGGTAAGGAGTTGATTTCAGGTGAGATGTCTTCTAACTTTAGTTTTAAACCAAGAGTCCCAGGGAACTCACATTCCGTAGCAGGCAAAAGTAATTAAATTGCCCACTTGGGTAAATGTTTTCTATGGAAACTCTAAGAACTCCTTAATAGAATGCTGAACCTAGAAGGTTCAGTAGAACTCTCACAGCTCCCTTAGTTTGGGACATGATCTAGAAACTCTTGAGAGATTGTAATTTGCTGAGGGTATACCTGCATGCACAGATGCTTACTGGTTTTCTGAAGTAGTAATTTCAACACATGATGCATTCTGTAGAAATTGGGAGATATTTTGAATTGGCTTTTGAAAAAAACAATATACCACAGAGTAAATGTGGTCTTCCAACTCTCATTTACCCAGCCTCTTAAAACAGGCCCAAATTAAGCAACTGTTTTGAATAATTCTCTGGGAGTGCTTATAGGATGATTTTCTATATAGCTGGTGGGTAATTGCACAGATTCTTCAAGTTACCTAATCCTCTAGGGAACTGAGTCAGAAACTGCCAGAGCTGGGAAGGACGTTGGGACCCTCTAGGCAGACCCCTCATTTTGAAGAGAGATGTCAGAGTAGCATTTCCTAATCCCAGACCAGTTGGCCCAATTGAAGCCACCATTCCCCAGGTCAGTTTTGAGAGCTTTCTGTACCACACCTAGGTGAGTACCATGCCCAATAGATACATTGAACTGTGTGTACGCACCTGTGACCTTCTTACTCTATAGGTTGAACAACTTTCAACTTTCATAGTCATTCTTAAGTCATGTGTAAGTAAAAACATGTTTTGTGACTTATAAAGCTGTGAATATCATCCAGTCTCCAGTTTGAGCGTTCCCATTGCACTTAAGCTTATTTTTAGTGTATTAAAGCATAAAAATGAGGGAAAAATTAAGGCTATTCCTGTCTGGATTATCCTTGAAGGAGCTTTTGCAAAAAGTCTCTGGTAGCCAACTTCAACTGTATGTGCATGTTGTATTTTGATAATGAAACAAACTTCCTTGATTGTTCAAGTAGTGCAGATTTCCTGGGATCCTCCTGCTTAAATAGAATGTTTGTTTCTCTAGAAATTATTTGAATTGGCAAACAGGTGCATCCACAATACTATTGAAACCATTCTTATCTGGGCGTTACCAAAAATAAATCCAAACGACAATAAAAGCAAAACACTGCATATGTTCTGGGCAAAAATATTTGAATGCTTGGAAATTTCAATTTTCTTAGTGTTGAGAGCATTGAGTTGTCAGATTAACTTTGTTGAATTAAGTTATGGGGACTCCCCTCCCTTTAATAAAATTATGTCCCTTATTCAAACTTCTCCAAATGCCCCCCACTTTTGAAAAATATGCAGCTTGCTAAAGGGAGCTGGAGCAATGCTTGGCAGTCAGGTTTCCTTGGACAAAACAAAGTGGGAATTTAACTATATTCTTGTGAATTTGCATAAGCTAATACTCCAAAAACTTGAAGTCTTGAATTTTACAGTTGGGTAATATAAGAGAAGTAACAGGATAATTGCATATCCCTAATCTGTTGTATGTTTTTATCCTGTATCTTCCAGTAGTCTGACATCTAGTAAAAGGACTAAATAGCTTAAATTGTAATGTATATCACTGATTACTCACTTCTCCCAACTTTGAATTTTGAAACAGACTGAGATCTGAAAGGGTTTTCATTTTATAAGTAAAACAGACTGAAGCTCTCCATTTATAACTATTTCAGGTGAGCACGACTTAAAATGTTAATAATAATAGTTTTGGTCAGCCGGAACTCTATAATATGTTTACAGTCAGTGGTTACTTAATTTTTTAATTAAATTTAGTCAGATGAAGGAGCCAGCTATTTTTTAAAACTAGAGATAATGGAATTAAAGATTAAAGTGGTACCTAATAACTTTCCATATGACTCATATACCCATGTTCTTTGCATTTCTGTGTGCCTTGACATGGTAATCACACTAACCTGTGCCTTATTAAATCTTATAATCACTCCTGCAACTTTGCATAATTTTCCTTACTAATTCTAAGTGTGAGAAATGTATACAAATACTGTGAAATGATAGGTGGTGAGGAAGTAAGCTCCTTAAGTAACACTGATCAGGAAGAGAGCCTTGTGGGCAAATAGCATAGGGTGAAATAATGTACAGTGGGCTCTCGCCTACAGCTCACACCTGACTGTTATACTGCAATGAAATGGTCACTTTTTCTCTTTGGATGTGGTAGTTAATTTTTTTTCCTTCCCCGTGACTGCTTAGGTGATCACCAGCTCAGAGAAAGAGCCAATCTTTTAAAACCACGTACTTGTAAAGGCTGAGCATCACTTACCTTTGGCAAGGAGTCGCCGTACCTTAGTGCTATGTTGCCGCATCCTGGGGCCTCAGGTACAACCGTGCCCTGCTGTATTCTCAGCACATTACTGTGTAAGAACTTGTCTCTCGGATGCAGGGAATGTCAGGTTTAGTCTGTGCTTCAAAGAATCAATGAGATACAGGATGGAGGAAAGGTAACATAAAGGCAAAGTAAGTCTTCTCTGAAAACTGTTCCTTAGTGTGTTGAGACCTCCAGGACTTAACCTACCCTTCTAAAAGTAAAAAAACAAAAACATGGTAATACCTGTTGGTGTAGAGCTAGTAACTTCAAAGAGACACTTGCCCCGGGCCCTTACCAAACCCGACAGGCAAGCAGAATAGAAACCCGTAGTGTGCCTTATGTTCTTGCTAGCAGGTTTCCAGCAGGTCTGGTGGTAACTGAAAAAAAGCACCCTCTTCGGGAGCGAGGATAATTGATCCTCTGTGCAGGTCAGGCTTTGGTACATTATGGTGCAAATACAGAAGGAATGGGTTATATCCTCTGCTGCTTTTAATAATAGGGAATACATTGCCCTGTAGGGAATGAGTTGGAAACCACATATTAAAGTAAAGCCTCAGACTGGACTTAAACATTATCTCCGGAAAATGCTTGTTGCTTGGATTCATCTAGCCCTCTACGGGGCATCTAGAGAGCACAGCACTTAATCTGGAATGTATTGTGCTAATGAGAACTCAAACTGATTAAGTGACATTGGCATTTGCTTTCTCTCAAAAATCAGCTGTAATTTTGATACGCGACTGCTTGTAAAGTGAAAACACTGTATTTGTTTCGCTATTCAGTGTTTTTAATGGAAACAGTTCTCATTTGTATACTCAGAAGATATTTAGCACAGTTTGTAAAGCCATTAAAGACCTTCAAAACCTAAGAAGGCCAATTGCCAGGTTATGAAGTAGGGATCTGAATGGAAAAGCCAACTGATGAGGCAGGCCTCTCGAATTACTGTGCCACTATGCATTTCAAATCAGACCCTCCTTTGGGAAGAAGAGGTGATTTGCAGCCATGCGTTATTGCTGTTCCAGTTTTCAGGCTAGAAAATAACTAATAGGGGCCATGTCATTGGAACACATGACACCTTCCCAAAGTTTTAAGAATATAATCAAGAAACCAAATTATGGAATTACCCCAAATCTATAACATTTCATTTTCTGACCACTGTGTTACCTACAGATTTAGATAGGATTGGCTTTAGAAGACCTGTGATTCTTAGCCTTAGCTGCACATTAGAATCACCCCGTGAGCTTTTAAAAATCCCAGTATCTGTGTTGTACCTAATTACCAATCTCTGGGTTGTCTTAAAACTTCTAGGTGATTCCAGTGTACAACCAAGGTTGAGATCTACTGTTTTAAAGGGAAGCTACAGAGCACTTACTGTCATATGGGCCAGGCGAAGGTATTTGCAGTAATGAGATTACTGAATGAACTGGTATTCCATAGTAAGGAAAAGGGAATAGGAATGCTTTAAGCAAAGAACAAAAAACACATCTATATAATATTCTAGACTTCGTTAATTCAATATAGTGGGAGGCTAGTGCATATTTAAAAGATATTTAGGTGGTATGCAGGAGGCGATTAAATTACATTAACAATTGTGTAATTTGTAAAACCACAGATCAGAACATGAGCAACAGAAAATATAGGATGCTGAGGGTAAGTCTGTGTGATGCTTTCCATTCCAAAATGAACTGGGAAGAAAGTAGTGAAATGTCAGAGATGGAGTTGACATGGAATAATGCCTAACTGAAAAATTGCATGAAGGTTGTTAGTACAAGGAATGTTTCTTCAGTATGTCCAGCAGTAATGCATACGGATCTTTCACAGAGTGAACTTTAGAAAGCATTTTAAGTGAAGTTGTTCAAATAATCTTATCTATATGTGTTTTGGTGTTTTTCTGTTTCCAAAATTCAAACAATAGGTGGGCAGTCAGCAAAGGC